CACATATTGCATGCTGGACCTTTCGTTGTTTCAAATCAATTCAATTTTTAATCATTTGAATTGAACACTTGATCTTGTATATGTCCACGATTACCTTATTGCTAATGTGTCCAGGTCCCCTAATTTATCTCTTCCTGAGGATGTATATCATCTTATTTTAGAAGTTGCAATGTTCAATGGCAATCCTCTTATTTCGTATTCATTAGCTATGAATAAGCCGCGCCGTTTTCCTTGCTTAATCAACGTATTTATCCAACTGATTTGTCTTTTTTATATGACTCGGTTGATATGAATACTGCTATTAATTTTTTTTATAACACCCTAAATTCCCTTTTAGATATGTATATACCCAAATTAAATCCTTTAATTGCTGGCTTACTAACAAATATAAAATCTAAATATTTTAAAAAGTTTAATAAGTCTGCTTCGAATATTGGCAAAATATTCTATATCACCAGGTCGAACTTCTTTTTTCTGATTTCTCAGTGCTATGAAAATGTTCTTACTCGTTCCTAAAGGCAATTTTCCCAAAATCCGAGACAGTTTTATAATTTTGTAAGCTTGAAGCGTAAATCTTCAAGTTTGCTATCTTATTTTTCCTTCGGGATGGATAAAGCTAGCAATGATTCTGATTCTGCTAACCTCTTTGCCAATTTTTTCCAATCAACTTACTCTTCTGTCTGTCCTAATAATAATGCTTACCGTTATAATATTACTTTCTATATTTGCATACATGCTCCTATTAATTCCCATTTAAATCCCCTATTAATTCTCTCTTCTATCTGCTATAAATTGTTTAACATCTTTTTACTCTTCTGGGTCTGACAATATTCCTAGTTGTCTACCCAAGGAGTGTAGTTCTTCCCTTCTTCGTCCAAGCTAAACCCCTTTAATGTATCCCTTGAATCTTCTGTCTTTCCATCTCATTGGAAAGAACACAATCAAGCCGGGTTACTCACGGCCTGTCTTAAAACTTTTGTAATTGCTTGTAAACACTTTATCTTTTCCGACCATTTGGAAAGAATTATACATTATCTCCCAGTCGAAAACTATAGAGGTATTTCCAAATTAACCGCTATACCTAAAGCTTTTGAGAGAATCATTACATATCAACTGCAACATTTATGTAGTTCTTTTATTTCACCTTCCCAGCATAGATTCGTGAAGAGAAAATCTACAACCACTAACCTTCTTGAGTTTACTTCGCTTGTAATTAATGGGTTTAAGAAAAGAATGCAGATTGACGTCATCTATACTGATTTCAGTAAGCCTTTCGACTCTGTCAACCACTCCTTACTGCTTCATAAATTATGCCTTCTCGGCTATACAGTCAATCTCTTGAACTGGATTTCAAAGCATTTGCATAACAGAACCCAGAAATTCGTTTTCTAAACGTATTCTGGTGACTTCCGGTGTTCCTCAAAGTAGTCATCTTGGGCCGCTACTTCGATACTGTCTCACTCTCGAGTGATAATGTATGCTGATGATGTGAAATTATGCTACTACTCCAAATGTAAGGCAATGATTTTCTATAGAAGCCCTCCTCAATTGGTTTCTTACATCCTTGATAGCTTACCGCTCGAGCGTGTTAACAGTACTTGTAATGAAGTTAATGATCTAGGTGTCATCCTTGATCATAAACTTAAGTTTCACTGTCATTTTAAGACCTTGGACAACAAGGCCAGAATTGTATTAGGTTTCATCAAGCGATAGTCTAAGGAGTTTGACGATCCGTACACGACAAAAACCCTTTATATATCTTTGGTACGACCTATACTTGATTGCCTCATATATCTGGTCACCACAAAATTCTATTCATGAAGACAGAATTGAATCTGTACAGGAATAATTCTTGTTGCTTTGCTCTTTGTGTGCGGTTACCGGCAGATTTCTGATGATGAATCTTCCGTCTTTAATTAATCGTAGAACCATGCTTGGTGTAATAATTATTCATAGGCTAATTATGGGTGAAAGCGAAACTTCTGGGTTGATTAGACAATTAAACCTATCTGTTCCGACTAGACTAACCCGTAATTATACACCTCTAATACTTCAATTTTAATCAACTAACTATGCCTTGCAGGAACTGTTCAGGGTTCTCTGTGATAATTATAACAAGCATTACAGAGTATTCTGCTCGGAGTCTTTTCTTCCTCGTATAAAGAAAATAGTACTAGCATACAGTCGTAGTTTGTATTCGTTTGGTACTTCGCAACTCGTGTCGTACGTTACGCCTCGGTCGGTTGGGCGGGTGGTGGGATGCAGTACATTGCAACGGGATTCGCGCGAAAAAAAAAATCTTAGATAATTCCTCTCCACAAGAAAGGTGGAAAGTCTGATATAAAAAATTACAAGGACATTGCAAATTTGTTCGCTATCCTTTTTTTTCAACTACGACCAATCTGCTTTAATTTACTTCCTTGGTAAATGATGCTTTCTTTTTTAAATGCAAACTGATGTCATTTTGTCATTTGTCATTTACACTGACTTCAGTGAGGCGTTTGACTCTGTGCACTATGATATTTAACTCCAAAAAACTTGACCGTTTAGGTTTCCCTCCGTCTTTTTTGCATTGGATTTCTTCTTATTTAAAAGGTAGGAATGAAAAAGTAATGCTTTACTTGAATCTTTACTCTTTTTATAAATGATCTCCCCTCGCTTTTATCACTAGCAAATGTACTTGTGTATGCGGACGATGTGAAACTTATTCTCTCATACATTAATCCCTTACATCACTCTCCTGCAACTTTGGTGTTCGACCAATCAATTGCATCTAAATTGTTCAAAGTGTATGTTTATGACGCCTAAGGTGTGATTGGATTTATTAAATGTTGGCCCAAGGAGTTTAACGATCCTTGCATAACCAAACTCTTATACATCTCTCTTGTTCGCCCTATCCCTGAATACTGCTTTTGCATCTGCAGTATAACAATAGCCAGGATCGTATTGAATCTGTTCAGAAGCAATTTCTGCTTTTTGCCTTACGAAGTTTAAATTGGGACTCTAATCTTCGGTTGCCATTCTACTCCAGCATGCTTCTTCTGCTTGATCTTCCGTCGTTAACCAACCGTAGGACAATCCTTGGTGTTGTCTTCCTACATAAGTTAATTGTTGGCGACATAGATTCTTCTTTTCTGATAGGGCGTCCTCAATTCTCTGTTCCGTCTAGAGGAATTGTCGCCCCTTATTCCTATCTACGTGCACAACAGATTATGCCATGCACAATTATATTCGTGTACTATTTAAAAATTATAATAGTTTGTATCACGTTTTCTCGACCGAATGTTTTCTACCCCTAAATAAAATCGTTGCCCTCAGGAAACTTTCAGGAACTCACTGACAATTCACAGCTATGAATTTCCATCACTATCTCTACCTAACACTCTATATATCTAGTTTAAACTTCTTCACTTTATTAATAGCTTCTTTGTTTCCTTTTCTTTTTATGTATATTTTTAAATAATATAGGAAATTAAGATTATTTTTAATTTGAACTTAAAAACACTACTTTCTCTACTAACCTTCTTTCTTAGCTGTAGGCTCTAATAACGTCACTGACAAAATTAGCTGTGAAAGGGGGAACAGCTGGCAGTACGGGCAAATAAAACACATCCATCGGTCGGTGAAGTTATTAGAAAATTCAGTATTCTAATTAGGCTTTTGGCATTTAATTTTTATAACTTGATGCATTAAATAATTAGTAAGACACTCGTGTTTGTTGGCCATTAATAAATAAATAAATAAAATAAAAGATGCGCTGTGTTTCTACATTATTGTTATTGTTTATTCTGTAATTGTGTGTCCGAACTCCACCGAGTGTTTTTTTTCGGATCTGCGACTAAGCTGGGGAAAACATTTTCAAATGAGCTGCGCTCCAAGGTGTAACCGCAACTCGTGGTAGACACATGAGGTCGATCAGTTTAGAACGGAAATGAGAAGTCTATACAAATTAGCACAGGAAATTAATGCACATATGTCTATCGAATCAACTAATGAAATTTTAAGTAAATGTGTGGCAAGCTAAGACGAAAATTCTGATCTTTATTCTGCAAAAAAATAACCAACAATAATGAAATGTCCATAAGGACTGCTGGCTAACTAACCAGCTAAACCAGGATCACTAGACGGTAATTTTGTAGAAAACAACCAAGAATGAAAGCAGCTGCTCACCGACAGTTCTAGTGGAAACGCACCTGACGTTATCAACAGAAGCCAAGTAGAAAAACATATGTAATTCTTGATTCAAAGCGTACTGTGATCTGGATCCAGCGGTAACAGAAAGCTTAATTAAGAAGTACTAATTAAGTTACCCTAAACCGGACTTGTGCTGTGTGTTTTAAGCGCAGTTTTATGCTGTCTGGCACTCTGCTCAACTAATTAACACCCTTGTATGCTTATCAATTTACGTTGATGGCCTGTAACCTATTAACACTATGTCATCGCATGTCACCAAAAATAATTATAAATTTTTTTAAGGTGTAAATGACTTTATTGCTGCCAACACACAAAATAGCCAAAATGTAATCATTCTTTCTGAAATAAGCTTGGCCGCGAAATATGTTTAATAATAGATTTTGTTATAAGTGGTCTCAAATATGTATATTGAAAAAGATCGGTTTTACCAAATCGGCTTAGACAAACAGCCAAAAAACAAAACTGATATCTGTCTTTAAGGGACATACCGGAACTTAAAGGAATGATGGTCCTGAGTGCTTTCTACCATACAAGTGTTCAAGATTTAAAAAAAAAATACTCAATTTGTTAATGCAATACCTAAAAATATCTAATGTTGGCTAAATTCATCAAAGATGGCATTGCTCAAAGCAACCAGCTTGATTAACAATTCTAATGTAGGCATTTGCTAGAGGTATGTTTAAAGGCTTTGCAAGATAAATAAATAGAGTTGACAACATGCTACTTTTTGAGAAAAAAAATTAATATTATTATGTACTTTTAGCAGTTGGGTATATTTTCTATTTCCTTTACTTTAGATGTCTTACCTCCTTGCTCGTCCAACATAACAATGCTTCGCATCCCAACTTCCGCGCTCTAAATAGAAATACATGTTTATTTTAAAATTAGTACCATAATGGGAGACTCCGTTAAAAATGTTCATATTTTTATTTCGTGTTAAAATTTTTGTGGAATTATTTTTTTAATTAAATCAGTTAAATTGACTACATATCCCATAGAGGACTTGTTATAAAGAATTGTGTAGAGTCCGATATCTTTTAAAATCGATAACTTTTTAAATTGCACAATATGTCTTGTTTCGACTGACCCAATTCAGCATTCAAGGAGCCATTTATGAACTTGTAGAAAGTAATATTTTTTTTCACAAATTTTCAACGCAAGGAAGGAGATCCCATCAAGTATATATATTAGAGAATTGTCAAGAGCGGCGTCGATAGGCAAGTTTTTCAGTCCAGGCAGAAATTAAATACATACATACATATGTATGTTGCATTCGGGTTGAAAGTACCCTATATATATGTATATACATATACATATATATCATATAATCATTGGAGTACCTTTGCCTTTTTTGGATTTACGATTTTCTTATAAATTATTACAACTTTTTTAACAGGGGACCCTGTATATGTAGCTGTCATAATAATTATCTAAAATTTAGTTACTGAATAAAAACCATTTTATTTTTCAGGAGTATACCGAAAAATTTGTATTCATTTGTATCACTATGGTTACATATAACCAAAATCGTATGAACATCCTATTACTATATCACATAGCACCGTAGAAATTATTGGGCAAAAAGTAGGAATGAAAATCTGGCTGTTTTCAAAAGATGTCTTGGCTAAATAAGACAATTACGAGGAGTGCTATTCTCCTAAAATATTTGTAAAACCATGTCAAAAGGACGCACCAAAGATATCCCTTTTTATACAGTGAACCCATTAAAAATGGGTAAAAGGGGTAAAATGTATTTGTTCAAATGTATGTAACAGCCAGAAGGAAGCATCTCCCACGTCATAAAGTATATATATTTACTTGATTAGCGTCAATAGTTAAGTTGCTCTAGCCATGCACATCTGACTTTCCTTCCGTCCGTACGTCCATCCATCTGTATGTATGAACGCAAGGATCTCAGAACCTATAAGAGGTAGAGACTTGAAATTTTTAACGTAGATCCTCCTAATGCCCGAGCAGTACGAGTTTGTTTCCGATAATCTATAAATTAGCCCGTTTCCAAGTAATCGATAAAAAGATTCACCAAACTTGACATGTAGTTTCTGATATCAAGTATCTTTCATATTATACTTAGCTATCGCAACCTCCCCGCTTCCACCACATAGCTATAATTCTAGTAAATAGACCAATTTGTATTGCCCATCAAGTTAAATCACAATGTTAGTTCAATAGACTTGAGAATACACAAATATTCTATAGCACAATCTACTATTCAAAATTTGATGAAGATCAGTTAAGAAATACAGTAGGTATTAAAGAAAACGTATTTTGCGGCAGCCAGCAAATTGCAAGAACTTCTTTATACATGTACACACACACATTCATGCGCATATTTATTGAATGCTTTCAACAGCATTGCAATTGTGATTGTGTTGTTTTTTCTGCTGTGTGTATGTGCTGCTATTTAAATTTTTTTTTGTAGCGATTAGTTGTTGGTGTGGATGTCAGTAGAGGCGGCGGCAAATAGTGTGGTTTGTTGCGAGCACCGAGGGAACTTTTTTTATTTTTAATTTATTTATACTATTGCACAAATTGAATTTAAGAACAACTTTTTATACATGTTTATAGTTCAATTTTTATGTAAATTGTAAAGCTTTTGCCTTGATACAAAAGCTCCAAGTCTCGTTTTATGCGTTACATATCTTAAGACAAAAATATAATACCATCTAAAAGGATATATATCAATATTATCAATAACAAATTTTTTTCGATTTTCGTAGCTTTAGCTGTATGCTGTAACCATGCTGTAACTTATATTTCCCATTACGACAACCAACTCCATGTGTGATGAGAAGAGAATTCTCGATTCGGGTAACGAACATTTTAAAAATATGTTTGAGGTAATGTCCTTAGACTCCAAAACCGGAAGCACTATTCCATCACACATCCAGGATTATCTCCCAGAGTTTCGACATGCCCTCTTGGCGCTAAAACTGTGTTGTAGCTGTTCGACTACAAAAGTTTTTCAAGGCTTCAATCGGCTACGGACTACCTAGGGCTAATGCCGTGATGAAACCACCAGTTGGGGTTGAATTCCCACACAAAAAAAAAAAAAAAAGGGGAAGATCCATTCCAAGCCTGCTACTATATCCTACAACCATATTATCAAAAGCTAGAAGCTGGATATCAGATCGTCTAAAGAATCGGCGTATCTCAGCTGAGGAAACGCAAACATGAAGACAGCGACGAAGAATGCTTCCATTAATCAAGTCGCCTTGGTTGAATTTCTGCATTTGCAGAACCCAGTACTTTCGTCAGCCCCACTAAACGTGCTAGTATCCGAGGATGGAATCATGGTGCTTATCCAAGAGCCATTTGCTAATTGTTGTGTAAGTCAATGGAATAAGTTGGAACTTATGGAAGTTGATATTTAGCCTATCGCTTTGCTTTTTTTATGGGTAGCAATATGAGTCACTTTCTAACAAACTTTATTTCTTTAATTATTTGTTTTGCTGGCTCGAGGTCCGGGGCATTTTTATTCAAGACAAAATGAAAACGCAATCATGTTTGAATATAACCAATATATTTCGGCTGCATTTCGGCAACCGTCTTCAGGGCACTAACACAAAAATAAAAAACAATTAACATTAAGATTCATTAAATAAAATTAAAAAATTTAAAAAACATACATTGTTATACACGTCTTTGACGTGGCGGTTGAAACTATTTGACAATTCAATAGATGTCTGTATAAGTGAGCGCAGTTTTCGGTGTCCGTTTTGTAGTTTAGTCGTATGTTGTTTGGTGTGTTTAATATGTGTAACATTTCTAATGTATGTCTTTTGTTATAGTGTTGTTCTTGTTGTAAAATTGTCGTCTCATCGAAATTTGGTGTGTGGTTGCTTTTCATATAGTGGGTCAGTTGAAGTACGATTTGTGTTGAGTTATTCTTGTTTTTAGCTTGGATTTTGTTGTTCCGATGTACACGCAGTTGCAAATATTGTTGTTGCCACTTGCCACTTGGTATTTTGTAAATTACGTTACTTTTATCCAATATTAGTATTTTCGCCTTTTTATAATTAGAGAATTTTTGTAGCGTATTTGTGGGCTTGTGGGCTATTTTTATTTCTTGTCTGGTATAGCAGTCTGAGTTTGCGAGCCGTTCCGATTATCGTGGTACATATGTAAGAGATTTGTATACTTTTTGTAAATTTTGTTGGCTTTAGTGTTCTGATATGTTGTCTTTAAAGTAATGTTCTAATTATATTCTTCGGGAAATCATTTATGGTCAATAGTTTTTTAATTTCGTGTTCAATTTCTTTATGGTATATACAGCTTAGTGCTGTATTTATAATCACACTTTTTGGGTGGTAAGAGTTAAAGTTGAGTATTCGTCTAGAGACTGTGGGTTTCATATACCACTTAATTTTGAGTGAATTATCCACTCTGTTTCCCAATGTGTCTAAAAATGGTAGCTTCCCGTCTTGTTCTAGTTCTACTGTGAATTTGATGTGTTTGTGAAACGAATGAATGATTTATGCTTCTGTTTTGGCCGTTACAGCAAAAAAGTCATCTACATAATTTTGTCAGAAGTTTAGGTTTTGTTGTCAATTTATCAGTAATATTGTCTAACAGTTCTTCCATTATTATGTCCGCTATTACTGGAGAGTTGTATGTATATTTTTTCGTCATATTTAAAAAACCTGCCCTCTTGAATACAGAATATAACTTTATTTTTTTAGTAATCGAAGCAGACACACCACACAGCATTCGTGTGAAAATGATTCCTCGGATGCGATGCCGATATCTTGATAGGATATAGATACAATTTCTCGAAATAAATACAGACCTTAAAAAGACGTTCACAAAAGTTATACAATTTACTTTCCAATACCAAATACTCTTTTTACTACAAAATTTTCATGGCTGTTGTTTTCTACGCAGCTAAAATCTGTTGGACAACATTTTATAGTGAAATTGTGTTGAAACGGCAGTCAACACATAGACATCGGGCAAGATTAATAAGTACGGATAGCTTTATTCATTGTTAATATTATTTTTAAGAAAAGCTTGATTCGAGGCACTTGGTTGCCAGCCATTGTCAAGAAAAGAGGCAAGAAAAATATTTGGTCCAAATGCCAGACGATATATCGATATACCGATATAGACTGGTAAGGCTCAAGATGGTTGACATGAACCATTCTCGTCGTGCGCATTCCAGGCAGCCGCGCCTCATAAACCAAGAGTTACGGCGTGCTACGGTGATCCCATCCAATTGGTCTGTAATTTTGGGTATCGACACTGTGTATCGGAGCGTACATCCAAGTGAAGTCGTCGGGCTTAAACTCTGTAGAGTGGGAACGGACACCATAACGCACTTTGTTAAGTGCTGAGTATGGAGGGCGATGCCCTCTTGGCAATTGTTGTAGTAGTGGGCAAGGAACTTGGCTGCTGACGGAACGTGCGGCGGTACGTCCCATTCTTGGCATTTCACTTCGTTCAGTGAGCGCACTATAGTAGGGCTTCATTAGTTTGTCGGTTCCGCGTTTTGCTGCTTAGCGTTGTCAATTAACTAAATTTGTAGGAACAGGACACAGTGTTTGTCGTTCTGTTCGGGTGTTGTTGCAATGCGACCGTCGCCACGGGGCCGATGAGAAAGGCTGTCTGCGATTCAGTGGTGTTTGCCACTGCGATGCTGGATATTCATTTCATATTAGTTCATGCGTACAATCCAGCGAGCAATTAAGGCTTCGGGCTTGTATGGTTAGGTGACATTACGGCCAGCAATACTTCGTCCTTGAGCCATTGTCCATCTCAACCTGAAGTACCCGGTTTGAAAGTCCATTGTCTAAAACACCTGGGCCAAAGTGAATTATCGTTGCCTCGGGTAGCCGAGC